GGGATGTGGCTCAAGCGGTAGCGCGCTCGCCTGGCATGCGTGCGGCCCGGGTTCGATCCTCAGCACCACATACCAACAAAGATGTTGTGTCCACCGAGAACTAAAAAATAAATATTAAAAAAATAAAAATAAAATRAAATATTGGTCAAATGGCCTGTCTTAGCTGGGCGTGGTGGCACATGCCTGTGGCCCAGATACTTGAGAGGCCAATGCAAGAGGATCGCTTGAGCCCAGGAGTGGAAGACCAGGTTGGCAACACAGTACGACTCAGACTAAAATGAGAAGTCTTAGTCAGCCCGTGCTGCTATAACAGAATGCCTGAGACAGCAGAAAGTATTTCTTCCCAGTCCTGGAGGCTGGGAAGTTCAAGATCAAGGTGCTGCCTCTGGCCCCGGCCTTCTTGCCACATTGGAGAGCTAGAGGGAATGCACTCCCTCAGSACAGTGTCTCTTCACTCCGCCCTGGTGGCCCAGTCCCCTCCCATCAGCCCCAGCTCCGCACCGGTGCCCTGGGGATCAAGGGCCCTCTGTGATCCTCTTGTCACTGGTCCGAAACACAGCTTCACAGACAGCTGCAGCACAGGGCAAACTCCAGGTGGGTCCAGCAGAGCTCTTTCATCCTGCGCCTGGAACCCCAGGTTTGCTCTGAGCCTCTCCAGCTGTGCCGTCCTCAGGGAGAGGGCCCCTCAGGGCTRTGTCACTTTCTAGGCCGGGAGGCATTGGCTTCAGGCCCCAGGAGCCTTTGTTCAACCAAAAGAAAGTCTGACTTGGGGAGAGAAAGGGGCCTTTTGTCACCTGACTGGAAGCTGTGACCCCAGCCCSGAGCCGTCCAGCTGAGACAGGGTGCCATGACCAAGCCTGCTGGAGGCCCRGGAGCTGGCATGAGGTAGCAGAGAAGAGAGCCCCAGATTGCACTCCGGGGCATGCACCCAGCAGGACTAAAATCGGGTGTCCAAACAGATTCCTGTAAGCTCTCATGGTCAGGCTTGTCACTGAGCCAAGAGGCCACGACTGCCAACGGCCAACAACGCGTCCACCAGCAGGACAGCGGGAGCCCTCCAACTCAGGGAGGGAATGAAGCTGGGCTCGGGTGTGGCTCGTGGTCGCACGGGGCCGGGTTCCATCCCCATACCACCCACACAGGAGGAGCCTCAGAACAGGCTAGAGGGCAGGCAGGAAAGGACCAGGATGGGCCCACCTACAGGAMGCGTCCAGAAGCCAATCCCAAGAGAGACAGTAGCCGGCTCTCCGGGGCCGGGGAGGGGGGCGGGCCTTCCTTTGTGGGTGATGGAAGGCTCTGGATTAGGGGGTGACGTTGGCAGTGCAACACTGGGAAGGTAGTAAGCGCCACTGAATGACACTCCTTAGCATGACACCTTCGTGTCATGTGAATCTCACCACAGTTTGAAAAACTCAGGTGTGGCCCCCACCCGAGGGGCAAGACCCTGGGAGCTCTGCTGACCTGGCCTGGGGAACGCCTCCGTGGGCCGGCCCCACTCAGGCGTGCCCTCGCGTGCCCTCAGGTCTTATCCATGAAGAGAGAGCTGAACCCAGTGGAGCTGGACTTCCTGCTGCGGTTCCCCTTCAAGGCAGGGGCCCTCTCGCCGGTGGACTTCCTGCAGCACCAGGGCTGGGGCGGGATCAAGGTTGGTCTCCGCCCGAGCTCTGTGTGGAGCCCTCTGCCCCGTGCTGCGGGTGTGTGGGGCCGAGCCACCAGGCACTGAGGGGAGTTGGGGACCAGAGAAGGAGGGGGAGAGCAGAGGGGCGGCCACCRGGGCCAGAAAGCTCTGTACTCCTGTTTGGTGTGACATCCACTAGGTCCTTRCGGGGCCCACCTGCAGCCAGCAGAGAGGGTCCCACCCAGCGAGGCAGGACAGGCCCCAGGTCTTCTAGGGCGGGGACCCTCCCCCGCCACACACCCCAAAAGCTCCAAGCTCAGGCTGCTCCTCCAAGGCCCAGACACGCTGCCCGAGACCCTCCATCCAGCCCCTGGTTTCAAGTCATTCTTTCCCCAGAGCCGCCCGCTCCTCCCAAGGCCACAGCTGCTCCTCAGTGAACGGAGGGATGACCTGGGCGGGCGGGCAGTCACCCCGACCACTGGTCTGCCTAGGCCCTCTCAGAGATGGACGAGTTCAAAAACCTGGACAATGACATCGAAGGGTCCGCCAAGCGGTGGAAGAAGCTGGTGGAGTCGGAGACCCCGGAGAAGGAGGTCTTCCCCAAGGAGTGGAAGAACAAGACGGCGCTGCAGAAGCTGTGCATGGTGAGGTGCATGCGGCCCGACCGCATGACCTACGCCGTCAAGTGAGTGTCGGGGGCCCACCGTCCAGGCCTGTTTCCTGGCTGGGGTGTCTGCTATTGGCTTGGTCCTGGGCACTGACCCCAGGGCTGCCCCACCTCTGAGCCCCGCCCCCAGCCCTCTGGACTTTTTGTTTTGAGACAGGGTCTGGCTAGGTGGCCCAGGCTGGTCCCTAACTTGCCCTCCTCCTGCCTCAGCCTTGTGACAGGCCACACCTGTGGCCCCCTCCACACTAAAGTCAGTCCTTGATGATGTAGGTTTCAGTCATTTGCAAGTGAATGGCTGACCTTGAGGACTTGTCTGGAGCTGAACCCTTGGGGGAGGAGAAGGGCTGTTGAAGGAGGAGGCTGGGGAGGGAGCCGGGGCCTGCTCCGGGCCTTCCCATCTTCCCTAGCAGCCGGAATGCCAGGAGATTTCCCAAAAGACACCCACGTCCCTAACAGAATTCCCCTCTGACAAAGCAGCAGCCTGACTCCCCCACCCTCTGTGATCATCCAAGACTTCATGTTTTGCTTTGTTTTCCACAAAGAGGAGAGGGGCCGGGGGTGGTGGGGAACAGGTGTGGGGGGGACAGAACACATGCTGCCGTCAGCCAGAGCAGAGAGGGGCTGCACTCCACAGTTGGGAAAGACCCCCGTGTGGGGCAGGAATGCCCCTAGCCTGGGATAGCTTGGCATGCCTGAGTGCCAACTGGATTCCAAGTGTCCGCCCTTRATCGGCATCGTCCATACAGAAGGACGGCTTGTCCTGACTGAGGAACCAGCTACAGTGGTCTCGGTCCACCCCCACCCAGGCACAGAGCTTAGCACCCTCAGGAAGGCCCTTGGGCCGGGATCACAGTGTCCATTCCCCCGGCCTGGGCTGGCAGAATTGGGGGAATAGCCCCCCTTAAGTCAGCATTGGTCAGGAAACTGCAGAACCTAGCTAAGGCCAGAGCAGGTGCCCCAGAGAGCTGGACAGCAGGAGGACTGAGCTGGAGCAGCTGGGCGGGGCTAGGACGGGACCCATCGCAGGACTTCCCAGATCCTGGAGCACCAGGCCTCGATTGCCGATTGCCGCAGGAGCAAGGTCTCAGGGGGGCTGGACATTAGAACCCTACCAACCTCAGTCAGAAGATTCCTCCAGAATGCAGTCAGCTCATGCCCTGCGACTSAACTCAGAGGATCCCTGGACACTAGACTTCCCATAGGAGGGCTATGGAGGCCTGGATCCCTCCTGGACTCGCTGGGCGATGGGAAAGAGCCGGGGTTTGGTGACGAGGCACAGGGGTTCTGCCACCTTGCCTTCATTGTCTCTGGTTTTCCCTGTCTCCTGGTCCTTCACGCTCACCAACACCACTGATCTCAACTTCCTTCCCTCTCAAACTCCCACCCCGTGTGCTTTCAAAAACGGGCTGCATCTCTTTGTACCTGCTGGCCCTGCTCGAGGGGAGAGCTGGTCACCAGCCCCTAGAACAAAGGGCACCCTGACAAATAAACCCTGAGGAAAGCAAATCCCACGGAGAGACATGCCCGTGAGGGCTTTGCTTTCCCACCAGAGGCCTCTCTGCTGAAGGAAGCCCAAGAAATGGCCCCKTTTAGGGCCACAGCCCAGCCCAGAATCTGGCCCTTGGTCCAGAGTGAGCTCCCGCCTTGGGTCTGACGCTGCCTGCTGCCCTCAGGAACTTCGTGGAGGAGAAGATGGGCAGCAAGTTTGTGGAAGGCCGGAGCGTGGAGTTCTCCAAGTCCTACGAGGAGAGCAGCCCCTCCACTCCCATCTTCTTCATCCTCTCCCCAGGCGTGGACCCCCTGAAAGACGTGGAGTCCCTGGGTAAGCGCAGAGGCCAGTGAAGTCCTCAGTCACCAGGGAGCCTCCACCCCTCGGCCATCAGGATGGTTGGCAGGGACGGGAGAGACGGGCCCTTGGGCATCGCGGTGGGGGCCTGAGGCAACGCAGCCACTGCCGCGCCAAACGGCTGCTCCTTGATGACCACCAATTGACCAGGCCCATCCACTGCTGGGCACACACCCAAACCCCCCAAACCCACATCCAGACAAGTACGATAACCGAGAGGTAGAAAATCCATCGCTGGATGGTCAGCTAAACACGAGTGGCGTTTCCACGCGGTGGAATACTGCTCTGCCGTGGAAGGACCCGCCAGGGGGTGGGTGGGCTTGACAGCACTGCACTCAGTGGAAAGCCAGGCCCAGAGCCTCCAACTGCCTGATCCCGTTTATACACAATGTCCCAGATAGGCCAGTCCACAGGGACAGAAAGCAGATTGGGGTGGTGGGGGGGTGGGCTGGCTGCTTGGTGGGCGGCGGGCTCCTGGGGGTGAAATGCTGGACCAGGTAGGGGGTTGCACAACCGGGGAGCAGACCAAACATGCTCTCTAGACGTGGAGCCTGTCAGATGTGCGCGATGAGCATTTCCCATGATAAACAAGGTGGGAGCGTGGAATTCCCGGCTGTGGACCCAGAGCCTGAGCCTCTCCACTGACTCATCGCTGTGCTTTTCCTGTTTTTCCTTTCTTTAGGAAAAAAATTGGGATTTACCATAGACAATGGGAAACTCCATAATGTGTCCCTGGGGCAGGGACAAGAGGTGGTGGCTGAGAATGCTCTGGACGTAGCTGCAGAGAACGGGCACTGGGTCATCCTGCAGGTGAGGAGGCCTCACCAAGGCAGCACAGGGGGGCCCAAGGTTGTGCCCAGGACGACCCTGCAGTCATGGGTGGGCATCCCGTGACTCCTTAAGGAGGGGTACAGCCACGGTCAGCTCTGCTGGAGTCAATGGGAGCGCGGGGGCCAGACTGCAGAGGGGAAGTGGGAGCCCTCCCGACGGGGACAGACACTGGGGTTTGTACCAGCTGCCCCTTTAAGACACGTTATTTGAAAAACCAACAGTCAACAAAGGCACCCCTCATCCCCTGGCCCCTTGCTTGGGCAGATAGCAAAGGCCACACACCCAGTGTGTGCTCTCCACAATTTGGCCACCCAGCCTTGTCCTGGAGCCCCTCCGGGACCCCTCCTAGCTCCAAGAGGACTGGGGACTGTGAAATCTCCGCCTTGTGCTGGGAAGGCTGCAGGGGACTCAGCACAGGTTGGAAGTGTGAAATAGCTGAGCCTAAGAATTGCTAGAACCACCCCCACATGCCCGGCACCTGCTCAGGGTAGATGGGGTGGGGGAGCCCCCGGTGTGTGAGGGTGCCATCAGGGAGCCTGCCTGTGCCCGGGGACACAGCCAAGTGGCCTATCCTGGCCTTGACTGCAGAACATCCACCTGGTGGCTCGGTGGCTGAGCACCCTGGATAAGAAGGTGGAGCGCTACAGCACGGGCAGCCACGAGGACTACCGGGTGTTCATCAGCGCGGAGCCTGCGCCCAGCCCAGAAGCCCACATCATCCCCCAGGGCATCCTGGAAAACGCCATCAAGATCACCAACGAGCCGCCCACGGGCATGTACGCCAACCTGCACAAGGCCCTGGACCTCTTCAACCAGGTAGGGAGGATGGCGCACGCGGCCTCACACACTGCACACACACAGGTGCACACACGCGCACACACGTGTCATGGTGTGTTCCTGGAAGGCTGTGCAAAATTAAAAAGGACCAGGCACCACGGTCACTCGCACCTTCACAGACAGCGGCCCAGAGTTAACCCAGGCCTGCAGCCAGCAGCAGCAAGCGTGGGCACAGGGAGCGCCTCCTCAAGGGGGCCCTAGGAGAGGAGGCCAGTGGATGGTCAGTCGGTGTCTGGGGGCCCAGCACTTCCCTGACCCCTGCTCCTGCCCTCCAGAGCCAAAGGCCAACTGCTAGTGGACTGGTGGAGCTGATGGCTTCTGCACCACCCCCTCCCCACCGCCTCTGCAGCCTCCCACCACTGTCCACTGGGTTGCTGCTGCAGCCCATCTCTGGAGTCTGTGTCTCCCCTCTACACATCACGTGCTCTGCCATGTACTCATCTCCCATCCGTCGGAGGTTCTGAGACCCTGTATTGTCCTGTAACACCTAATGAAGATGGCGTGCCTATGGAGGACACTGTGCCAGAATGGACCACTTCCAAATTTAAGACACTTATGCTGGGTGCAGTGGTGCACGCCTGTAATCCCAGCAGCTCAGGAGGCTGAGGCAGGAGGATTAAAAGATTGAGGCCAGCCTCAGCAACTTAGCAAGACCCTGTCTCTAAATAAATAAAATGACTGTGAAGTAGCGTAGTGGTAGAGTGCCTCAGGACGGAATTGCCAGTACCAAAATAAACACATAAAGAGTTCTAGAGGACTGGGGCTGTGGCTCAGTGGTAGAACACTTGCCTAGCATGTGTGAGGCACTGGGTTCATTTCCCAGCACCACATATAAACAAATGAAAAAAATAAAGGCCCCTATGTCTAAAAATTTTTTTTAAAAAAAAGTTCTATGAAAATATCTGAGCCACCCACTAACAGTTCCCGACCTACAGTTAAAGGAAACAGCATCGTCAAAGTGTAAAGAACACGGGGGATTGAGAGTCATCTAAGCAGCCATCGCCATGTGCCTGGCACGTTGCAGGTGTGGGGATGGGTGATGCGTAGGGCACAACCCATGTGGCCAGTGAGCAGAGTCTGGCGAGGGGCATGGATGTGCCCCAGAAGTGGGACTCCAGTGTGCTAAGCGCTGCGGAAAGCCCGGGCAGCAGGCTGCRAGTCGTGAGGAGCTCAGGGCTGCCATCCAGAAAGTGCTGTGAGCCGGAGCTGCCGGAAACCGGGCTCTGGTCTGCTTTGCCCTAGCACCTCACYTTCACTGTATTGGTCTCAGGGTGACACCCTGGGGTGTTGGCACAGGAGGCCCTGCCCTGGGGGCCTTCACCTCCCGCCAGCTCGGGCCCCCATGCAGAGCAGCTAATGCCCCCTGGCAGTCCGTGCGGTCTTCAGGTGAGACATGCTGTGCACGCCTGCTCACAACTAGCCATGCAGGTGTGGCACCCGCACCACCACAAGTGAGGGTGGTGACAGGAGACAGGGATGCCCAGTTCTGTCACCGTCCAGTGGGACSGAAGGCTCGTGCCTGGTTCATGCTTGGTCAAAACAGTGGTCTGAGCCCGCGGCTTACTTATAGAGAGCGGGGTCAGTTTGACTTGTAATAATCACTTAAAAGCGACAAAAGTACGTTTCTGAAAGGTCAGAGGGAAAGGAGACCCCGCCTGTGCCTTCCCTGAGCTGATGGGCCAACGGCCTTGTCCCCTCTACCCGCGCCCCTCTACTCCTCGGCAGCCACAAAGACGGGCTCTGTCCCCGCTCGGGGGTGTCTGTATGCAACCACCCCCTTCTGCTTCCTCTTGTTAACAGGGGACACAGACCATGTCATTCTGTCCCCCCACCCCCGCCCAGGACACCATGGAGATGTGCACCAAAGAGATCGAATTCAAGTGCATCCTCTTTGCCCTGTGCTACTTCCATGCTGTGGTGGCTGAGAGGCGCAAGTTTGGTGCCCAGGGCTGGAACCGGTCATACCCCTTCAACAACGGGGACCTCACCATCTCCATCAATGTGCTCTACAATTACCTGGAGGCCAACGCCAAGGTGAGGAGCGCGGTCCCTGTCCTGACTCAGCTGGCCACACGGGCCCTCCACCTGGCCTGCACTGACCCCTTCCCTTGYTCCCACCTGCCCTTTCTTCTCTGTGTCTTGTGTAAAAGGCATTAAGGGGGCTCCACAAACCAAAGGGGATCTAAAAACATGCTCATCTACATCACCAACCTCCCATGACACCCCTCCAGTCATCCCGCCRTGTGACCATCCTGCTGGCACAGCTGCCCCTCCTGCATGGGCCCAGAACCCCGCACCCTAGGCAGCGGGATGGAGGATGGGCTTRGGCAGGCGGGGCTTCGGCTGTGGGCTGGCTCCCTGTGCTCCTCACTTCCCAGACAGACCCAGGCCCTGGGGGAGGCAGGGACACAAGGCAGCTCCTCAGGGAAGAAGGGGCAACACCTCCTGCTCTCACRACAAATGGGAATCGATACACAAAGTCAGGTGCTCCGGGAACCGGGAACCGTCTCTAGCAAGGAGGACACGGCTCCCTGGGCTCCCATAGCTGGGGAAGGGACAGGGAGACTCCAGCCACAGGTGGATGGGACGGTCCTGGCAGAGTGTTACCCCTCCAAGGTGGGTGTCCTCGGCAGTCACAGGTAAGGAGGTGCRGGGAGATGCCAGGAAGGACCTGCACCACCACAGCCGGGCCAGGCCCCTCTGAGTCCAACGTCCTCCTCCTGGGCCCCTCCCCAGGAGCAATTATCAGAAGCAGGCTGGCTTTCCTCCTGGGGACCGCCCCCACCCCCGCCCAGGTCCCCAGCCCTCTGTTCCTTCAAGGCACAGGTCACACTGTCTGCCAGGACCACCCGGCAAATGTCATCAGTATCAGGGCTACTCCCCCACCCCCAGGAGGAGGTAGCCCAGTGCTCCCCACCCTGGCCCGAAGGCCTGACCAGCCAGCAGCCTTGTCACGGTGCGACTGCCCTGCACAGGCTGGCTTCCTGGGGACAGGCCTGGCAGGTGTGGGAAACAGCCTGCCCTGTGATCAGTCCCACTGGCCCTCCTGCTGTGGGAAAGGACTGTCCCCAAAGTGGGGTGTGCTCCCCACCTCACAGCATACACAGAAGCTGCTTCCAAAGCAGCTCAGCTCAGCATTAACTCCAGATAATCTGAGAAAGACAATTTTGAAGTCAAAGTGGCCACTTAGAGGGCTGGGTGCAGTGGTGCCCACCTGTAACCCTAGCTACTTGGAAGGCTGAGGCCAGAGATMGCAAGTTAGAGGCCAGCTTCGGCAACTTAGTGAGAACTTATCTCAAAATAAAACATAAGGGTTGGGGATGTGGCTGAGAATGTGGCTCAGGCTTAAGCGCCCCTGGTTCAATCCCCAGTACCCCTAAAAAAACTTAGGAATGATCTTTTCACCCACTTCCACACTGGGGTGATCCTGCTGCTCTTCGTAGAATAGCTGGGAGGAGGTTCTGGGTCACCCAGGGCTCCTGCTGCACTGCTGTGGCAGCCCCAGCAGCAGGAGCAGGGCTGGGGGGCTGGGCCTTTGCGGGTGGGGGTGCTCGTGGCCAGGCTCTGGAGATAAGGGACACAGCAAGCAGAGGCAGGCAGTGAGCATGGAGGCCCGGGTTAGARGGCACCTGGCCTGACTAGGGTTGTGTGTGCACACTGCTGGGCCTGGCGTTTGTCCCCAAGGCCCCGGGAGGCCACGGTTTTGTGGGGTGAGTCGTTTGCTCAAAGTTCTCTGTGCTGCCACAAAGCCCTCTGAGGCAAGCGAGGCGACAGCTACTGGACTGATGGAAAAAGGAACTGGGGACCAGACGAGTTCTGTGGGACCCAAGGGAAGGTGCCCTGAAGTGTTCTGAAGACATGATTAGACTCAGTGGCCACAGGGGAGGCCGTGGCCCAGCCGGCCCTCAGCCACACACGGGTCACAGGAGGAACAGGCAGAAGGAACAAGTGCCCTRTAGGCCTGCAGCGTCTGGGGCACCAGCAGAGGCGCCCGAGGACATCACTGGGAAGGGAAGTCACAGGTTGGGAGAGCTCAGCCTGAGAATAGAGGGCATCTCCGAGGTGCTGGCCACTGTGCAGACACCAGGTCCGTGGTGCGGGGTCAGGGGAAGGCAGCCCTTGACCTGGTGGCTGAGCGGTCACTGCTGAACTCGAAGGCAAATGGCCTGGGAGGCCAGCCTGGCCAGCAAGCCCAGGGCAGCACAGCAGGCCCTCGAGCATGGCTGACCACGCAGGCCTACCACCGTGTGAGAGGAGGGCGGGCGCCTTTCCCTAACGGCTGCTCCCCACCACCCCAGGTGCCCTGGGACGACCTCCGCTACCTCTTCGGGGAGATCATGTACGGCGGCCACATCACGGAYGACTGGGATCGGCGGCTCTGCAGGACCTACCTGGCTGAGTACGTCCGCGGCGAGATGCTGGAGGGAGAGGTGATGCTGGCCCCCGGCTTTCAGATCCCCCCCAACCTGGACTACAAGGTGAGCAGCGGCCTGCACAGAGCCACGGTGGCCAGCAGCTGAGAAGGGCGGCCGTCCAGACCTGCTTCCAACGTGGCAGTGACTGAGCCAAACCCCAGGCACACAAAACGAGGAAGGGGGTTGGGAGTTCCCTTATGTAGCTGGGAGCCATGCAGGGCCAGGGACCAAGTGAGGACTGGGCAGGGGGCAGGACACACAGGCGCTGGGGCGAGGCAGGGACTCGCTTGGCTTACACAGCTTAACTGGCAGTCTGCTCACACTGTCCCTCTTTGCAGGGCTACCATGAATACATCGATGAGAACCTTCCCCCCGAGAGCCCCTACCTGTACGGSCTGCACCCCAATGCAGAGATTGGCTTTCTGACGGTCACCTCAGAGAAGCTGTTCCGCACTGTCCTGGAAATGCAGCCCAAAGAGACAGACTCGGGAGCAGGCACAGGAGTATCCCGCGAGGAAAAGGCAGGACCCTTTGTCCTTCCCCAGGACCTGGGGCCAGGTCACACAGCACAGTGCAGCCCCAGGTCACAGGAAGTGCCCCTTGCTAGCCAGGCACACACTATCCCAGTGGGAGAATGAGAAACCTGGGGTGAGGGTCTGCAAGCTGGCTGGCAGGCCCCCAGAAGCACCTGTGTCAGGCAGGCAGAACCCGGGTGAGTGGCAGGCATGGCTAGGGCAGCACAGCCTGGACACACTCAAGATGGCCACAGACAGACCTCACTGATCGGAAAAGCCCAGAGTATAGCATTGAACAAACTCGGCTTGTCCAGGCTCCCCTAGCCCCTCTCCTGACAGCCCAGCACCACCTACACCTAACTCACCGCAGACCAGCTCAGTACCAGGCTTCACAGTGGACAGACCAAACGTAGAGTGAACAACCTAATCTCTATTACCCACACCCCTGCTTGACCTAACAAGTGACATTAGAAAGCTCCTATGGACAGTGGTGGGCATGACCATGCTAAGGGGGTGGGACCAGTATGGTCCCCATGGAGGACAAAGTGACATCTGTGCCCACCAGCACATTTGGGCATATATGGAGGCACCAGGCTACGGGCGCCCGATGCACGTGGGCCAGCCATGTGGTCTGCCAGCGGGGCCAGAGCGCTGGAGAGCCTGCTGGCCACTGTCTAAGCCTGCAGTGCTGGGGTCCTGGCAGCCCCCCGCTCTTCCCTCTCCTCCGAACGTCTGGACAGGCTCCCTGCCCCTGAAGCAGCAAGGAAGGGTCTCTCTGGGGTGGGGAGTGCTGGGGGTTAATGGGGACTGGATTCCAGGTGAAGGCCGTGCTAGATGACATCCTCGAGAAGATTCCAGAGACGTTCAACATGGCCGAGATCATGGCAAAGGCGGCTGAGAAGACCCCCTACGTGGTGGTGGCCTTTCAAGAATGTGAAAGGATGAACATCCTGACCAACGAAATGCGCCGCTCACTGAAGGAGCTGAACCTGGGGCTGAAGGTGAGCTGGGGGGCACCAGGCCCCGGAGGGACTTGGGGCAGGCTGACCAAGAAGGCAGGYTCCCAGCCACAGCCGGGACACTGGCACATCATGGCCTGCCCCTTCTGCCCTGCTCTGGACCCAGGGTGTTCCAGAAGCCACGGGAACTTACCTTGACTGCTCCTGGCAGAAGGTGCTGGCCTGGGCCCCGTGCAGGCTGTCTCCAGGGGTCCCACAGAGCCAGAGCTGATGGCTCTGGGCACACTGGGGGTGGCCTCCCACTCCCGTGGGCAGGCCTAAGGTGTACCTGAGCACATCTGCCCCAGGCCAAGTGGCGGAGCCTAAACTTCCCTGAACCTGCTGTGTCCCTCAGGGGGAACTGACCATCACCACCGACATGGAAGACCTGTCCACGGCTCTCTTTTACGACACTGTGCCCGACACGTGGGTGGCCCGGGCCTACCCCTCCATGATGGGCCTGGCAGCCTGGTACACGGACTTGCTGCTCCGCATCAGGGTAAGCACTGCCTGACTCTGGAGAGTCAGAATGTGGAGACCAGAATGCCAGGGCTGTGCCACACCCCAGAGCCTTCAGGAGTCGAGCTGTGGTGGCCCTAGAGRCCCTTCCTTGGTGGCCGGGCCTCTGCAGGAGCAGGGTGGAAGGGCCAGGCTCAGCCCCTCAGCACCTGACAATGCAGGGGCCTCCTCTCGAGGAGGAAGTCACACGGGTGCGCACCATGAGCCGCAGCCCCCCACCCAGCAAGCGCCAAGAGCTCAGGCCTTGCGGTGAGCCTGGTGACAGGCCAGGTCTGCCTCCAGCATCGGCCATTCACTCCCTGACGCCACTTTTCCCGCTAGTCCCCCCTCATTTAAAATGGAACCAGACAGCAAAGCAAGGGGTAGGGAGGCGGCGGGCTCCAGGGCCACTCTCTGGAACACTGACAAGCCCTGGCCCTGCCTGCTCATCCTCAGCCTGTGCTTCCCTGCAGGAACTCGAGGCCTGGACGACGGACTTCGTCCTGCCCACCACCGTGTGGCTGGCTGGATTCTTCAACCCCCAGTCATTCCTCACGGCCATCATGCAGTCCATGGCCAGGAAGAATGARTGGCCCCTTGACAAAATGTGTTTATCTGTGGAAGTGACCAAGAAAAACCGGGAGGACATGACTGCTCCCCCCAGAGAGGGCTCCTATGTGTATGGACTCTTCATGGAAGGTAAGTGTGTGTGTGTGGGGGGCTGTCTACAGCTGCCCAAGGCCACGCCCACTCAGTCTCAGCAGGACAGGCTGTGCAGCTGGGAGAGCGGTATTCTCAGGATGGGTACCTGAGCTTACAGCCTGGAACCACGCTGACCACTAGAGTCAGTGGGGTTCTGAGAACCTCAGGAGGGCTGGAGGACACACAGACCCTTGCAGCCAGCTGGCCTGGACGAAGCCAACAGTGCCTATCAGGCCAGCTCCTCCAGCCAGGGCGCAGGGCAAGACTGCTGTAGAGCAGTGGGCTCCCAGGCATGCAGGCTGGCCCTCAGCCAGGAGCCCACCTCTGCTGCATTCCTGTCCCAGCCCCCTGCCAGTCTCCAAGCTGCACGGTCAGGACTTCCAAGGGACAGAAGGTCTGCCCACCACCTAGTCTCAGAGCCCTGTGTGTCACACCATCCACGTGGCCAGRAAAAAAGAGGGGGAGGGAGAGGTGGAGGCACCCTCTAGAACTGGCCTCCTCATCCCTGAGGAAGGCCACCCACTCAGACCCAGAGTAGAGCAGCACCGCCTCGGCCAACCCTGCCCACTCCACAACTGCCACCACCCGACCCRTGGTGTCAGGCAAGGCCAGCGGGGGCCCAGGTACCCCATTTCCCACAGCAACCAAGACAAGTACAGCAGCAGCCGTTCCCCACATTTATTTTGGAATTCCAGACAAAGTACAAACATTATTGAATATGATAAGTAGAAATGGCAGCAGTCTGGTTAAAGGCAAATAATATTTATATATGCACACAGATGATTATTTATGCTGCATATGTACACACAGGCTAGACGTGACACAGGAGGGAGTCAGGGAACTTGGTGATCTTCAGCTGGAGTTATGATTTCTTGCCACTCTGAAAGTGAGAAGGCCGACAGACGAGGCTCTGGAAACACCACAAATTTAAATGGATGGAACCCAAGAGCATTAGTGCGGAGCTGTTCCTCAGTGCACAGCAAGATGCCCGGGGCACCACAGCATGCCACCACCACCCACGGTGTCCTCTGTGGACACCTGCACCCCCTGTCCTTGGCACCTGGCCTCAACTCTTCAGGAGTCTCAGGGGCACTGACCTCCTTGCAAAGGGTGGGGGGGGGGTGTGAGGCCAGGCCTCTCCCTGTGGGCCCCTCCCCTCACTGCCAGCACACCAGACAAGACCTGTTCGCTGCACCAGGGCTGCCCTGACCCTCGGCCACGCTGTCCCTGCAGGAGCTCGCTGGGACACCCAGACTGGAGTCATCGCTGAAGCGCGTCTGAAGGAGCTGACGCCAGCCATGCCCGTCATCTTCATCAAAGCCATTCCTGTGGACCGCATGGAGACCAAGAACATATATGAGTGTCCCGTGTACAAGACACGCATCCGCGGCCCCACCTACGTCTGGACCTTTAACCTCAAGACTAAGGAGAAGGCAGCCAAGTGGATCCTGGCGGCGGTGGCGCTGCTCCTGCAGGTGTAACTGGCCACTGGTCCTGCGCCACGGCCCCACCCTGAACCAAGTCAACCAGGCAGCAATCAGAAACACCGCCTTGCAACTGTCACCTGCTCTTTACGGGAAGCATTGGTTATTTTCCTCTTACATAATCGAGGTGCTTTGTGACTGAGTGCACCTGGACTAGCCCGAGGGGAGGCTGGAGGCTGGAGTGTGAGAGGCGTACAGATTAAAAGGTCTGCAGTCATTGGCTGTCTCATCCCGCCTCGGGCCTGCCAGAGCAGGGTGCAGCTGCGGCAAGGCCCGGCTCACCACAGCCAAGGGCAAGCACCCTACAGACCAACCCCCAAATACTGACTCCTGGGGAGCGGGGGTTGGAGAGTTGCAAGCAGCCTGGGGCACAGCAGGTGCAGCCTGTGATGTGATGATGTCCACGCACAGCCCCCCAATAGGTGCGTCATCATAAACAGGAGTCCTCTCCTCTCCCAAGGACAAGAGGGGCTCCCCACCCTCCACCCATGTCCACGCACAGCCCCCCAATAGGTGCGCCATCATAAACAGGAGTCCTCTCCTCTCCCCACCCTCCACCCCAGGACCTAGAAGGGCACGTGGCTGGGGTGCTCCCCTCAGCTTTCTAAAAACCACGGGACACGGTGGGGAGGGACCTCAGGGACCTTAACTGTGAGGTTGTGTCCCTGTATGTCCTGAGGGGGGAGGGTCAAAGGTGGGGGGAAAGACACTGTCTTTCTGCCGTTCTGCAGGGCAAGTAGGAGGATGTGCAAAGTCCTCAGGTCCCCTTGTGAGGGGTGCAAATCCAGGCTGGGGGTGGCTATTTTGGCCTCTACCCAATTCCAAGGCCTAGTGAGGACACCCTAAAAACTCCCCTGAGCCAGGAGAGCTAGTCCACAACACACCACCTGGGTGTGCTCCAGCCGCCAGCACCCGTCTGCCCCRAGGGAGTGGGCACAGAGGCGGGTGGCACACAGCCCCAGGAAGCCCGCCCAGGCCATAGGCAGCTGCAGGCTGCGTCCACTGAGTCCTCCAGCTGGCAGGAAGTCTGCAGGAGTAAGGTCCCCACGGGGCCCTGGGGCCACATCAAGACATCCCAGCAACACAGCCAGGCTGACTGGGCAGTGGGGTGCAGATCAGAGAGAAGATGACTACTTAGAAACCTGGAAGCCAGGGCAAGCAGGTGTAGAGCCTACAAGGGTAAGATGGAACCCAGGGGGAGCGTGTCTGTCAGGCAAGCACTCTAGATAGAAATGGCGCTCCATCTTTTTCACATGCATATTCACCCAAACCATGGGTGAAGAAGTGGTGCAGGAAGTCTGGCTCAAATCCAGAAGGGAACGCCACCCCTCGGGGCCCAAGGAAGGAAGCAGAGTTGATGCCAATGACCCTGGCTGTCGGACACCCACCCCTGCTGGCCAGGAGGGGTGACTGCAGCCGTTCATAACCAGGCYGCAGGGACAGAAAGAAGACCGCCAATGGCCTGCCACAGCAGCTCATCTCCATTCCCCGGTAATAACCGCAAAATGTGAAGTTTTTCCAATTTTGCCTTTAGAGCCTAAAATAAAACAGTAATTTATTCCACATGTGCGTATTGCGGGTAGTTGAGAAAATCCTCTCCAAACTTTCCAAGAGATGATTCACCTTTGGGTTGTCCACCGTGAGGGGAAAGCATGGTTTGGAAGAGAAACCAGGGGCCTCCAGTCTCTGCCTCTCTGGAGAGCCTTCCCAGTACTCCCATTAGCAGAGACAGAGGGAGCAGGGGCACAGAGGAACTGCTCAGGCCAGGCTGCCCACGGGGGTGGAGAAACCCTAGGAGAAAACCTAGGCTGATGGAGAAGGCCTCTCCACACAGAAACCCAGTGCCCCTGCCATTCCTGCGTCTCCTAGTCTGAGGGCCGCAACACAACCCAGGGCACTGTGGCCAAGGCCCAACTGCTTAAACTGCAGCCATCCTTGTAGAAGAGTGGTGCTCGGGCCCTGGAGCACCCACCACACAGCCAGAACCCGGGAAAAGTGGTCCTGGTGGCTGCCACCTCTCAGGAGGCCAGCCAGAAGCACGAGGCACAGGGAAGTTCTCCAGTCTGGCTCCCCTAAAGTCGGGCTGCCACTCCTGGCACCTAAAGAGGGCTCATGCTTTGTGCAAGATCCTGACATGCTGAGACTGCGCAGTAAGTTCTAAAACTGGCTCAAGACAATGGATGGGGCGGACGGACTTCTATAAATACACAGGACAGGTAGATTCAAAATGCCCTGCTTGAGATGACACAAGATGAGAGCTGGCATTATCATCAACRATCACAAGGTGTACAGCGTACATGGACACTGGGTCAAATAGACAAACAAAACATTAAAATGAGCTGGGTGAGGCGGCACACACCTGTAATCCCAGCAACTCAGGAGGCTGAGGCAGGAGGATTGCAAGTTCAAGGCCAGCCTCAGCAACTCAGCAACATCCTGTCTCAAAAAATAAAAATAAAAAGGGCTGGGATATAGCTAAGTGGTAGAATGTCCCTGGTTCAATCACCAGTACACCTCCACATACACACAAGCAATTAAAATAATGAAGAAAAAACTACAGGATTAAATGCAATTTTTTTTTTAGATGAGGTTGTCAAGAGCCAAGGAACTCTACCAACAGAGAAGCATGTGCCACTATACCCCCTCACTCCCCTGTAACCCCAAGCTGAAGTCCTAACCATGCCAACGTGCGGAGGACCCAGGAAACCAACCCCATCTGGGGCCCTCCAGAGTGTGCTCAGGATCCTGAGGAATCTGGAACACAGAGGGTCACTCCAGAGAGAGCCCACTCTCATGGTAGCCACCCACTCCCTGCCCAACCTCCAGGCATCAGGATAGCCAAGGGGTAGCTGGGGTGAGCCCTAAGGTGCACCTGCCTGTGGGACCCAGCAGGTGGCTTTCTGGTAGGCAGAGCATGTCTTGACACCTAGAACATCACACCTCCCTAACTGCACGTCACACAGACGTCAGGGAGACGGCAAGGCAGCAGCCCAAGGTCCAGCTCAGCCACCATGTGGTCCTGAGCTCAGCTGGCCAGAGCCCTCCCCGCTCCCGGAGGGCTTCGTCCTCCTCCCATAGCWGTCTCCTGCAGGGTCCTGCTCAGCTAAGGGAAGGGAAGGACAGGCTCTGCCTCCCTCTCACCCAGGGCCTCGCAAAGCCCTGGCACGGGAAGGCAGAAGGGGACTGCACACTGCTGACACAGGCGGCCCAGCACTTGGTGTGACTGGTACCTGATAAGAAGTGAACCAGCTTCCTAATTTAGCATCAGTCTTCAAAAACTTTGATGACAGCTTTCCACAATCTACAGTAACCTCCACGTGCTTAACCAAGGAAGGGGTGAAAGAGCCCTCAGGGTTCCTTCTAGAGGGTCTCTGGTAGTCGGACCACCCCTGCCCTACCCAAAGCTCTCGGCAACACTGAGCTGAGGCGGTGCGAGAGACAGCACCTGGCGTCCTCAGAAGAAGTTCTTGATCAGTGGAGTCACCATCTTCACCCACAGCTTCACCTGCTAACACAGTGGCTAAATAGTGGTGAGGATACCACACTTAATTGCAAATAGAGCTGCTCTTGCTCCTGAGGAAGAGGAATAGACAGAAGTAGTTAGAGTCCCCTCCAGCACCAAGTAACACGGCCCTAAGACCAGCCTGGCAAACACTGTGTCAAGGCCAGAAAACACATGTCAGGCCAGAGTGTGGGGGTGCCCAGCAGTAGGGCAGGGCAGGCCCACCGTGGTGCGGCACGATGCTTGTGGACTAGCTACAAAGCCCCATTGCTGACGATGAAAAGACACACCTTTGCACGTCTCCAACTTGGAGTGGAGGAAACACACCTGGTGGGAAAAACACTGTGGAAAGCTGTCTTGCCGTCACCTACGTCCATGACCAAGGGCCAATTAGAATAAGACACACTCCATATCTGTGTGAATACGTCAAAACAGACCTACTGTCATGAATGACTAAAAGGAACAGCAAAAAAAAAAAAAAAAGCTCACTGTCACTAAATGAATTGGTGTACATCACAATGCAGCCCAGGGGCAGAGTAAGTGCCTGGCACGCAGTGCAGAGCACCCTCACTCAATTCCAGCACCACCAAGAAAAAAATGCCTTTTACATAAGACACAGTTTTCCTTCCATCGAATTGGTAAAAAAGTCATCTTGTGATGTCATTATCCTGGCTGGCGTGGACTGCTGTGGAAAGGGGCACTGAGTCACCTCTCTGGAAGGCAATCTGGCAACAGGTATCAAGAGCCTTAAACGTTCCACTTGCAAGCTTCTCCCACAACAGCAACTGTGCACCCAGAACCAAGCACTAGGATGTCTGCACACAGACACTTATCACAGTGCACCGTGACAGGAAAGACTGGAAACCACTGACACGCCCCAAGCTCCTTACCAGTACATCCACACGGCAAGACAGCATTCACCACGAGACCAGCACATCCCAAGACGCTTAACAACAGGGCAGAAMTCACAGCACACCTGACAGAAGGAGCCGGGTGTGGGGTATATGCCTGGCACTCTTGGGAAACAGGCTCCAGGACCCCACAGACACCAAACCCTGAGCATGCTCATGTCCCTGGCACTAAATGCACAGCCTGCGTGGACACGTCCCATGGGGGACTTCTGAATTCCACCTTACCTGTAGTATTTAAGGTACAGGCTATGTATAAATATTTGCCACACTGTACTGTTTGGGGGAAATCTGAACATGTTCAGTACAGACGGAATTATTTTCCATCCACTTTGATCCATGGGTGGTTGAATCCTGTGGGTTTGAACGGCCAGCAGTAATCCTAATTCCTTTTTAAAAAAATGTTACGCTGGGGCTGGGGATGTGGCTCAAGCGGTAGCGCGCTTGCCTGGCATGCGTGCGGCCCGGGTTCGAGCCTCACCAACACATACAAACAAAGATGTTGTGTCCCTTGAAAACTAAAAAGTAAATGTCAATCTTTCTTTAAAAAAAAAAAAAATGTTACGCCTTTCCACGCATACACAGAATGAAAGGGATGAGGAGCTCTGACCAAAGGCTAGTTTCTTCTAATTTTTCTTAATTTTTATACAAAATGTTTATTACTTTCACCTCTGAAACGCGTGCACAGGCTTTGCCTCCGAGTATGTGGAGGCTCTCTGGAAGGAGAACGTTACTTCCTTCAGCCATGTGCCCTTAGGTGCTGTCCTCTCCTGACATCGCCTCAAGACCAGGCGGGGGACCAAGCGTCTTATCTAGGAATTCCAGGCTGTGCCTGCGTCCACACCATCCAGAGGCTCCCGTCAGGATGACCAGGCACACAGTCCCACAAATGCAGGGCCACACAAGAGGGACACTGTGTGAGGGAAGACCAGGTCACCTCGGGTGTCGGCAGCTGCACTTCCTGCTGCTCCCTCTTGGCTGTGCTTGCTGCCCTGGTCATGAAGCACACCCTGAGGCCACATCCATGCACGCAGACCCTCAGCTGCTGTTCTACCCCAGCTCCAGGTGTCACAAACATGGGAGCCTAATTCTATGGCCTCCCAATGGATGCTGCTAAGCTCCAAATCCCTGGTGGGAAGTGCCTGCCGGAGGAGCCAGCTCTGGTCTCAGGGGCGGGTCTGCAACTGTAGCCTGCATTCTCAGTGAACAGCCAGCCAAGGCTTCGATGAGATTACCAGCACAACTTCCGTGTCCTCAGACTCCACCACAGGGATGGAGAAGGAAGTCAGCTGGCCGGGGTCACAATGCTTTTTGAGGGAGTATTTCTTGGGTCACAAGTGGAAAACTGTTCTCTGAACAAAGCCAGGAAGYTTTCCACTTTTATTGTATGCACTAAGTGAAGGGAGGGACTTTCGGATTCTGATAAAGACATCTCCCCATTCCCAGAGCTCCACATGCCCTGGCCAGGGCCCTTCCCTGTGTCCCAGCAGAACTACAGCAGCAGCGGCTGAGAGCACAGACCCCAGCTGCCGGGGCTGCAGGGACTTTCTGGTGTGTGGCTGCACAGCCCCAGTAGCACTTGGCGCTCGAGGACCAGGCACTGTAGTCCTGGCACAGAGGCAGAYAGGCAGAATAATCTAGAAATGCATTTCTGCAATTCACAAGCATAGAATCAATCTCTTACCACCCTCCCACAATCCAAAGCCCCTGAGACTCAGGTTTGGGAAGAAAATATCCCAAATATGTTATTTGAGAAAGCAGCTCCCAACCACAACTGGCCCAGCTTTTCTCAAGATCCAGGATGTGGGCTGAGTTCCCTGACTCAGGAAGTGGGGAACGGTCAGTACCAAGATGCTGGGCATAGGCCTGGGGCACTTACTTCTCAAGTCAACCCAGGTTCCACACACAACTCGTCCCCACCCCAGGCCAAAATCACCAACAGCTCTATAGTGGGCCGTCTGTGCACACAGTTCTCTCTGTCCTAGAGGCCAGAGTCTAGGAGATCCCGGGGATAAGAGCTGCAGTCTGTCTTTCCTATAAGATGGGATCTGAGGCCAGTGGCTGCCCCCTTACAATGGAATCTCTCAGCTTGTGGGGGCTTCTTCCACAGCTTGCTATGTCTCCCTGCAAGAAAAAAGCTGCTGGATAAATCCAGTGTCCCAGGGCCACCCAGGTCTGCTCTTCCATGGACAGGAGACTGCAGGAGGAGGCCCAGGGAACGAGGCAGCACCTCCTCCCCGTCCAAGAGCTCAGCAGCACTTCCCAACGCTGCACGGGTCAGCCCTGGGCTTCCAAAACCTGGCCTACAGCACGTTTCTGCACACCTGTGACTCAGGAGGGGAAGCTGATGCTGCCCATGGACAGGCTCACACCCTCAAGAACCCAAAGCACTGCAGGCTGCACCCATATGGGGCCTGTGCTTCCTTTTCAAAAGTCCATCAATATTGTTGTAGGTGACCAAATACTAAAATCTATATAAAATCATACRTGAATTCTTGGTTACATTGTTATCTAAAGAGAAAACAAAACACTGCTACCATCTAGAGAAGGCCAAATCCACTGCTGGCCCTTAAAGAGCTGCCCTTGTTCTTCGAAGAGGTAGGCCCTCTGAACAGTATAGGACAAGTCCCCAAGACATGAGTCCATACCACCCCGCAGCTGCAAGACCAAGGGCCTGATCTTCCAAGGCTTCTCTGATGCAGGTCTCTGAGAGGCCCCACTACCCACTCACTGCAGACCTGGGGGAACTCAAGAGTCTTTCTCAGTCCTAGTCTCACTGCCTCAGCAGACAATGGCAGGAGACAGCTCTTGGAGCAGCCCAGTGACCTGGGCCAGGCTGGGTACCAGCCGCACCCCCCGCACACCCAGGAATCCCACTGCTTCAACCAACCTGGTGGAGCTGCTGCTGCAGGGATCGGCTCTCTGTCACGATGGCGATCTGGGCCTCCAGGTCCCGGTGAACTGACCTGTACCCAAAATTAGGAGAGCCAATCAGCGTGAGACAGGGCAGGCTGCTCCCTGCCAGGTACAGCCAGAGGCCTGCAGGGAAAAGGAAATGGGCAGACAGAAAATGAGCATAGAATCTGCCAACATCCACACTACGCACTGTGTCAACCTAAGAGAAAAGCAGCTGGCCAGGCTCTCTGGTTGAGAGGTGGCCAGGAGGTCYACCCCCACACCCTGTGCTGAGGCGCAACAGACACCCCAGCCAATGCTGCTCTGCACTTCCCACCACTGTGCTATGGCCTTGGGTCCCACACAGGATGAGCAGCTGGGTTCCTTGGGGGAACCCAGCGAGGCTGGCCTAAGGTTAGCTCTCACAGGCCGCCCACAATTGTGCCCCAGGGAGAGCAGGGCTTCAATCCCAGCTCTGTGAACTGCCTCTGCCATCTCTGGGCCTGCCAAAAGTTGCGGGTGAAGCTCAGGCCCGCACAGGCAGCAGCTGCTATCCCCAATCCCAGGACGGGAGGCAAGCCTCAGCCCCTGCTCAGCCCCTGCACGGGAAGCAGCAGGTAAGGAACAGCAACCCCCTGCCTGGGCCAGCCGATTGTGCTGTCACCAAGGAGAGACAAGGCACTGGGTAAGAAAGAACAGGCCTGCCCGAGGACACACAGCCGCCCTTCCTGCCTCCAGACAGGGGACACACAGTCTCCCTTACCCAGCCTCCCTATTTCAAGCTGTTAACACACCAGAAAGCCAGGAAGCCCAGAGGGGCTCCAGGCCAGACCTCTGCTCTCACTGGCAGTGGGGCTCAAGGACTTCCCTTTCGACTGCACTCAGCAAAGTCCATCTGGGCCAACAAAGGAGAGGACCTGAGGGCCCTGCAAGTTTCTGTCTCTCTCAGAGAAACACTGGTTCCCATTTTTTGCTAGGAGATGGGTCAAGGATCAGCAGGAAGACTGTGTGTCTGACCATACCCTGGAGACATTTCTGTAAGAAAGGTCGTGGGTTCTCTCAGAATCCTGACCTGTCGTCCAAGACAACCAGGCAGGTCCTCATTCTATAACCTCCCAAATCCCAGGACCTGCTTTCACAATTCAGCCCCCCAAAACCTACTCCTAACAGAAGATTCCCAAAACCTGACCTCCCAAGGACGTGTGCTGCTCAAAACATCCTCTTCTTCCAGGCAGCATGGATTCAGCGTGGCCTCCACACTTTCCTCCTCACCCCACCCTCACTCACACCAGAAAACCCGGCCCAGTGTGTTACCACGTGCTTGTAGGCCCCTGTGGGCAACTGCGCGGGATCAACTTCCCACCACGTCTCCTCCACCAATGGGATGCTCTTAAAGGCCCGAGACCTGCATGACCACAGCTGGCAGTCTGCAACACACACCACGTTCCCAAAATAGAAGACCATTTCCTAATTCTCACTCAGAGCAGGAGCATTTCCAAGAACAGCTTGGGTAAGAGGTGACGAGGCCCTGCCGCCTGTTCCTGTAATGGGCTYGTCCCCTCCCTTACAGAGGGCCACATCAAAGCCACTTGCTTGCYTTGTACCCACTTCATCAATGGGGCCTCAGGCTGTGCAGATAATTCAAGAGGCCACAGGCAGGGCAGGCTGTCCCCTCTGTGGGGTCCAAGGGAAGGCTGCTCTCTGCACTGGCCGCTCTTCATATGCACATGCCTTACCCCACGCCAACCCTCCCAGAGCATGGAGCCGGGAGAGATGAGACACAGAGTAGGAACTCCAGCAGCCTCAGCCCCAAGACAAGAGATTCCTCCCACCTGCTGAAGCTAGTCCCTACTCTTCTCATGACAACAGCAGCCTCTTATAAACACTGGGACACCTGTAATCCCAGTTACTCAGGAGGCTGAGGCAGTAAGACCGAAATTCAAGGACAGCCTCAGCAACTTAGCGACACCCTGTCTTAAATAAAATATAAAGGGCTGGGGTACAGCTCAGTGGTAAAGCACTTGCCTAGCATATGTGAGGCCCTGGATTCAATCCCCAGTGCCACAAAAGAAAAGACAAATGGCAAGCCTGGTCCCCACTGGTGAGATCCACTGAGACAGTGAAAAGCACTACCAAGGAGGGACACCGCCCACACTACCAGAGGTGGCACAGGGCACCTGTGTCCCAGGGAGCCCTGCTGGGAAAGCGGTCTCCCTCCATCTGAACTCTTCCAGGCAGGCAAGTTCATCACTGGTCTGCACCCTGAGAAAAGCTGGGAAATTTCCAGCGGGTGGGGAAATCAAGAAAAACCCTGAAGTGCAGTTTCATCTCCTTTGCTCCTGTCAGGCCCGCAGCTCAGGATGCTGGCTGTGCGTGCACAGGGAAGACGCAGGGACTTGCTGTCGGGAAACATGCTTCCGGCGCAGGGCCATAAAATGTTATCAAGCCCCAGCTCCTCACCCCAGGGCCTGACCTTTGGGCCCAACATCTCTTCCATTCCAGGAACCAGCAGGAACTGCAGCAGGAAGTAGGGGGAAGCACCCTGCTATGGAGAAAGTGACTTTAGGAGCAGACTGGGGTGCAGGCTGTTCACAAGGCAGAGGAGGACTGTAGACCTGGGACCCTAGGGAGCAGGGGAGGCCAAGGCAGCCATGACCGCCTGGAGCCCAGCAGAAAGCACGTGACTGGAAGGCCACATGAGGACAGAGCTGGACTCAAGTCAAAGGCCCCTGCTGCCGCCCAGCTCTGGGCCTCCTTCTCAGAAAAAGTGACACCAGCCTCTGCCCTTCTCAAGAGTCACCTTGTCCATCTGATGCAAAAGCCAGTTCACAGCACTTTTCTGTCTCCTGCAGAGGCCCTAGACACCTCCTGCAGGATGGCACAGGCCCCATCCTAGCCCATGCAGTTCTGCAAGCCTAGGAAGCCCATAAGGCTTTACTGTCCGCCCCCTGCCTGGGTCGCTCCTGCCCAAGGCAGACGTGGGCCACTCTTATCTCTCTCTTCACTTAGGCTCCTCCCGAATGTCAGGTCCTCAGAGGGGCCCTCCCTGGCTCTTAGGCCCGTCAGCCTGGATCCCTTCTCCTAACTTGGTCTTTTTCACCTGACGTGTATTGGTACGAACTCCTCTGCTCTCCTTCTGCTTCCAATTAGACTGAAAGCCCCAGGAGACAAGAAGCCCCTCTTGGCCCAGTGAGCTACTTCCACTGCTTTGAATGATGTACGATACATGGTAGGACCTCAATAAATATCTGTTTGAATAAAATGAGTAACGATGACTCTTCCAACAAAAGATTAGATTAAGTAAGGTTCGAAAGCAGAAGCTCAAGGATACTTTAGGTCGGGGCATTCTCTCAGGATCTTGCCCAGAAACCCACACGTACGCGTCCCCCCTGCAGGCCCCTACAGTAGTCTGCAATCAGGCCCTGGTAAAAAACAAGGAGAAAAAAGTCACCCTGGCCTCCGCTCCAGGGAGAAGCACCTGCTGGCTCTGATGTCAGAACAACTCTCTGAAACTCCTCCCGTGCGCCTCAGCCTGAGGCAACAGTATGCACCAGCACAGCCCTAAGCCCGAGCACCCCAGAAGGGTTCCAGGTGACAGCCTTCCCACTGCCGCAAAGGCACACAGGGTGGGGCTTCTGGMTCTCACCATCAGTTCACCTGTGGGCACCATGTCAATCAGCCTATCAGGAAGACAATAAAAATAGTGAAATTCTCACAATCATTAACAGATTCCGCTGTCAGCAGGAGCCAGAAATCTCTCAATCCTATGGCCCTGCTCCACCCTGGCCACACACGTGGTGTTGTTAACGTAGAGTACTGAATCCAGAACAAATGAAGTCATTGATCTAAACTCAATGAACTCATTTTCTGATCCTCCCCTAAAATGCAAGCCCAGGGCTCAGCCCACACATAGATCCTGCACCTAGGTGCACAGTGTGGGCACGGTCCCTGTCGAAAGGGCTGCTGGCTCTCAGGATASGGTTGGGACATGGTTGGCCTATTTCACGCTCTCAGCAAGAAGCCGGAGTTGAGTATGAGCGATGCCCTGGCCTCACCCCTCCACGGGCAGGAAGCCGACAGGCTGGAACACAGCTTGATACCTCATACTCAGCCTCTGCTGAAGCTGTGGGCTGTCACAGACCTCAAGGTGAGTCTCCAGCATGTGGCACACTACACTTACAGGCTGAAAATGGCAGGCAACTGGGCTCTCCTCACCACCCCAGTGCTCTACAGGGACCAGGCTGGGGGCGGGTGGGCCCGGGGCCCAATCAGAAGAGTCTGCTGCAGCATCTAAAGTAGCCTCTGGGCAGAGTCCAGATTCTACCCTGGCTCCCAGAACCTCGTCCTGCCACACCTACAGGGCAAGGAATGAGGGCCAGGCAACAGGAAACTGGCAAACCATGAGTCATAGGAGCAGCCGGCAGCCTGCTGCAAACATGGAGGGCTGCCCAGCCGCATAYCAAGGGGAGCTCCTGAGAACTCTCATTCTGGGGACCCAAGAGTTGCAGGTGAAGGCCTCTGGCTTCAAGCTGTCCTTCACCACAGAGAGGCAAGGAGAGCAGCAGCAGAACTCCACAGACCAACTCCCAATCACTCCCAACCAGGCAGCAACTTGAAGAAGGTGGGCAAGAAGACACACTCCATGGAACTTGATTGTCTTATTTTTCATTTTTTTGTGTGTGGTGTTAGGAATGGAACCCAAGGCCTCATACATACCAGGCAAGTGCTCTACCACTGAAAAACTCCAATTTTTTATTCTTCCAGGGGAGCAATACGAGGTACAGGTATACATTCTGGTGATGCTGGGTGGCAGTACCACGTTGCAGCTCCCACAGGCTCGAGTGATGAGGGACCACTGGTACTCCACTGTGTTCCTGGGGCTCAGCTGGGAGGTCAGCAGGTTAAGTGCATCAAGTGTTTTCAACTCACAGTATTTTCCTTATGTAACTTTCAACTCACATTATCTTCAACTTAAAATGGACTTATCAGAACATACCCCCATGTGTACAGGTAACAAAGCCAGAGACCCCACATCTAGAGAAGGAGACTTTTGTCCAACTGTCAATCATCTGCTCTGAGCTAACAGAGTCACTCCTAGCCCAGGCCCTCGATGTCAACACAGCACCAGTCTCATGACCCCAGAGGCATCTCTCCTGGCTTGTGCCACTGGTCATGCTAAAGAAAGTCAATGTGCATCCTGCCACCCTGCTCTCCTGTTAATTCAGTGCCATCACCCTACTTGACAGAAAGGAAACTGAACAATTCCTTCAGCTTCTACCCAGGGTAAAACTGAACCAAGAACCAGGGTCCTGGGCACAACATGCGGTAACGTCTATACTAAAGCATACTGACACCAGATCTTCTGAAGAGGTGTCCTTTGCAAAAGTGAAACACAAGACTAAACAGATAATCCATTTTGCAAAAGGAGTCTCTAGGGCATGATGTTAAACAGAAGGCACCTCTGGCTAGTTTACTAAAACATGCCACAAAACTGAAGTCTACTAAGAAACCAGTGCAGTGTGCTCCTGGCGCAGCGGTGCACGCCTGTGATCCCAGGGGCTCAGGTGGCTGAGGCAGGATGACAGCTTCAAGGCCAGTCTCACTCAGTAACGTAGGAAGAACCTGTCTCAAAMTAAAATATAAAAGGGCTGGGGATGTAGCTCAGTGGTAGAATGCTTGCCTAGCATGTATCAGGTCTTGGGTTCAATCTTCACTACTAAAAAWAAATAAATAAATAAGAAACGAGCAAAGTCTGCAAGTGAGGTAAACCTCTAGTCGGGCTGGGGAACAGAATAAATACTGCTTCCACCACTAGTCACCACACAAGGATCTCTCCAACAAGGCGTCTGAGCAACTGCTGGATGTTCCCAGCAACATCTGATAACACAAAATACTAAAGACCTTTGGATTTCCTGCCATCAAGCTGCACTGAAACCCACTGGCACCACTTAACCAGTGTGGTCATTTCCCACAGAAGACTGTCTCTCCCAGCCTCGCCTTCAGGCTTCCCCAGGGCAGGAACCAAACCCACCTTCCCTGCAGAGCCACCCTTACAAGGCCATCAGCAGTCCAACACACAGTCCTCCAAGTTTCCTGTGGTCTGATTCCCAGGGATGCTGCCAGTGTGTAGGGATCTGGAATCTAGGGCCCCGGGCTCACTCTCCAAGGCTTCTGGGAGCAGGAAAAGACAAGATCAGATCAGGCCCGTCCCACAGAAGAATTGGGTAAAGGAAYTGTGGTATTGGCTACACAGTGATCAAAACTTTCTGGGGCTCAAACAGGCCCGCAACTTGTACCTAGCATGAGCCTTACAGGAAATGGTCCAGCGCACCAGCAATCCAAATCCACAACCACAACCCTCTCCTGACACAGGCTGCTTTAGGGAAACGACCATTAACAGATGAGCCAGAAACGGCTGCTAAGACCCCACTATGGATCATAGCCACCAAGCAAGGAGGGATGCTGGCCTTGCACTTCAGCATGGAGTGACTCTAGCTCCTGGCTTAAGGATGCTCTGTTCACAAGAACTTCCTCCATGCACCATCTGCCCCCCACCCACCCACCTTTGCCATACACACACACCCACATGTGCCCTGGGATCTCCATGCCTCCCCACCAGCTCTGCGCTCCCAGAGGGCAGAGCCCCACCCATACCAGCGTAGAAGGGAGGGAGCAGTAGGAGCACATAATCCGGGAAAAGGTGAGGCACACTGGAAAAGCCAGTTGGGTACTTCTGCTTCAAAGGTACTAGGGAGTCGCCACAGGCGTACCAGTGCAGCTCMGAGGAAGAGACCTGGATTTCTCTTTCTCGGAGCTGCACTGGTACGCCTGTGGCGACTCCCTAGTACCTTTGAAGTACCACAATTCCTGCAGGCGGAGCTAGGGCAGCTGAAGAGAGCTGCACAGCTGTGCCTCCACTCAGCCTGGGCCTGGGGCTACACCCTGGTACCTCTTCAAAGCTCAAAGCTTCTCCCAGCTGCTCAGCTCTTCCTCTGATGCCCCACCCCAGGGCACTCTTGTGATTCCCAGAAGGAACAAGGCCAACCTGAAAATACTTTCCACACACCTCCCTGCCGGCCCTACCCATCCTGAGACACCTGACCACCAGGCTAGTTCCGTCCATGACATGCTAGGATGAGTCCAACAGTACAATGGGGCAGTCACTTCCCACAGCAAGCAATGCCACCTGCCTAGGCAGGTGTGGGGCCTCAAAACACAATGGGGCCAGTGTGGACAAGCCAGGAGCCTCACCATGTTTTCTAAGGCTGGGCAGCAAAATCTCCTAGGTATAGGGAGTAAACACACCAAGTTAAGGGCTAGGGCTGCAGGTAGGAGCTAAGCACCTGCCTAGTATGTATAAGACCCTGGAGTCAACCCCCAGCTCTGCAATCAATCAATCAATCAATCAATCAATAGATTACCAGGGTAGGTTCACCCAGAAAGCTAGACTCAGGTCTCGGATGGCCTAAATGTTAGTGCTTCTTAAAATGTATCCACACTGAAAATGCTAGTTTTAGGAGATTGAAAAAAGGGTTTGACCTAGGAATTTAAAGATGTCTTTGATGACACAGGCATATACATGGCACCCAAGAAAGAGGCCAAAGCAACAGCACATCCTCCCTAGCTCAGCTCTTCTAAAAGATTAAGGATGGGCAAAACAGCCAGGGTGAGCAAAAGAGGCTTCAGGACTGCCCAGAGAGAAGCCAGAAGAGCCACATACAGAATTCCCAGCCCAAGTCCCTAGGACTGTCCATTCCTCTTAAACTCTCAGGTCAGCACTCTAGAGGTAGGCATACTCACAACGCCCAGCAGTCAAAGGGCAAGCCCACTGCTAAACACRAGAACTTTGTTTTTTTTCAGTGCTGGGAATCAAACCCAGGGCCTCACACATGCTGGACAACTGAGCTACAAGCCCAGCCCTGCCTCTGCACCCCTTTTTTTCAGACAGGGTCTAAGTTGCTGAGGTTGACCTCAAACATGTGATTCTCCTGCCTTGACCTTCCAAGTAGCTGAGATTACAGGGCTGTACCATAAGCTTGAGGTTTTTCTTAACACTGGGGATTGAACCCAGGGGCACTTAACTGCTGAGCCACATCCCCAGCCCTTTCTTCATATTTTGTCTAGAGACAGGGTCTCAATCAGTTGCTTATGGCCTTGCTAAGTTGCTGAGGCTGGCTTAGAATCTAGATCCTCTTGCTTCAGCCTCCAGAGCCAATGGAATTAGACGTGTGCCACTGTGCCCAATAAGCTTGAGATTTTAAATGTACTTCATCACAATTCAAAAAGGTACACATAAGAATATGCCCCCACCTGGGCTGTGCTACTAGATATCTGAGAGGGATCACAATAAAAAACTGATCTGGACTAGAACTCACTTCCCACCTAGACGTTAAGTATATAGGACATTCATCAATAAGAACTAAACACTGAAGAATACTGGTTCCATTTTCTGAGTTACAGGGAGAAAAAGGTGGAGACTGGCACACTGGAGAAAACAAAGAAGAAATGGTGAGAAAAAGAAAGAAAAAGGATGTTGATGGCAAACCCAAGATCCCTGATGATCGTTGCTCTGCCAACAARCAGAAGCACCACGATGAGATGTGACTAAGTCATATCCAGTCCCTGTCTGAGATTACAGGTACTGCATTTTTTACAAGAGTCACCAAAATGGTTTCCWTTTGTTAGTCTTTGGTGTGTAAAAGAAAGAGATTTCCCACAACTAACATTTGCTTGAAGTAGCACACGTCTGTAATCCCAGCAACTCGGGAGGCTGAGACAGGAGGACTGAAAGTTCAAGGCACCCTAAACAACTTAAGTGAAACCCTGTATCAAAATAAAAAAAAATTAAAAAGGCTGGGGATGGAGTTCAGTGGTAAAGTGCGCAGGGTTCAATCCCTAGTACTGCCCTTGCCAAAAATTTGACTTGAGTATTTTAACCCTCACCTCCCCAGGACCCAAGACCACCCCACTGGGCCTGGGAGGGCACCATGAGCACCATGGGAGAAAGGACGAAGTGCCACAGGCATGGCTGGTGTTCCGCAGGGGCCAGCACAGTACAGCTAGCCCAGTCCCTGCCAGAACGCCAAGAGTGTGCCGCTCCCCACCACCAAGAGCCTCCCCCATGTTGGAGCAATCCTGAGGCCAGCCACCACATACCTTTGGCATGGAACGTCCAGCCCCTCCTCCAGTATTCCTGTAGCTGAACCCGCTCCTGCTGCCCCAGGCTGCACACCTCGCTATAGAACTGCCGCTCAATGTGCACATAGGCTGCAGGGATGGCACCTGCCACCCCCTTGGCTCCAAAGAAGCCATTCACCTCTGGAGAGGCCAGCAGGATCTGGTACTCTGCCCGTGTGCCCAAGACCAGGTCCATGTAGGCCTGAGTCAGATTGAAGTAGCCCGTTGTAAGGTAGACCCTAGCACCTCGCTCAGCCTCAGTCAGCAGGGTCTCTGTGACAATCTCATCAATCTGGATCTCAAAGGGCTTCATCTGTATCAATGGATAAATCCAGGTGTCGGGTGCTGGTCTGCGATCACCAGCAGCTGCTGCCTCCTCCTGTGTCAGTAAGGAGTCCCCATGGAAGGTCTGGGCATGCAGCATCTGCTGGCGAGTCCGGGCGGAGTGGATCACATCCATGACCCGCTTATTGGCGGCCTTGCAGTATGCAGCCCGGTCACCTAGAGGGAGACAAGAGGAAGAGGAGGAGAAATGAGGAGTCAGGACTCGGCTGGCTCAGCCACAGCATGTGACAGGCATGCRAAGATGTGCAAGCAGAACACATGCCCCTTTTTCCTCTGGTACTGGGGATTAAACCCAGGAGTGCTCTTCCTCTGAGCTACGTCTCCAACTTTTTATTTATTTGRGAGAGGGTCTCACTAAGTTGCCTCAGCTGGCCTTATACTTGCAATCCTCCTGTCTCAGCCTCCCAGACCACTAGGATTACAGTGTGCAACACATGTCCAGCCAGAACATGTACTGAGTGAGCTCCAGGCATGAAACCCTGAGCAAGACTCCTCCAAGGATACAGCTGCCCAGAATAAGGACCTTGCCCAGAGAGAGAAATAAAAGAGAACATCTATATGATCTCCAATTGCAAAAAGCTCAAAATCAGAGAAGATGAATTTGGGGTGACAAATCAGGACAGTAATTACCATGGGGAATAACACCTGGGGAAGGGCCGAGGGGAGTTTCTGGAGAACAATCCACTATGAACAGGCACATGAGCTATACCTGTGACTGGTGTTCAATACATATGTGAACTTCATGAGAAAGTTTGTGTATATAAAGCCAAATCAGTATAGCTAAAACAGAGTGGGCACACACCATGACAAGCGTGCAGAGAAGCATAAGTATAATTAACCACCAGTGGTGACACACACGGAATCCTCTGAGGGCAGGCTCTGGGCTGTATAGGGAGCAACTATCCTGAGAGGACGATGGTGGCAAGTGACTGTGCAGACAACTAGGTGGAACAATACAACTACAAGAGCTATTATTAGACAAGCAAAGACTGAATGATAATGAGCTGCCCAAGAAGTATGGGGAAAACAGAATAAAACTACACCACAGGGAAATAAGACCAGAAGTCAATAGAATGAAAATACAAAAATGGAGAACACTGTCCAATATTAATCCTCTGAAGAGTCTGAGACAGCAAGGCTCTGGCAAGGCTGCTGGGAAGGAAAGCCAACAGAGAAGGATAGCCGTAGTGGTCATACATACTTGCTCACATAGACCAAGAGGACAGGGACAGACACTTGACTACCTTTCTAAGCTGTATTAACAAACAGAAAAGGAACGTCCTATGCAGGGATCCATCCTGTTGCTGCCAGTGACTGCCTGGATCGGGGGAGCAGGCACAGTGCCCACTGCCACAAGGGCTGCATGGTCAGGAAGGTRTAAGCAGGCTGCTAAGCACATCTGTGCATGCTCTGCCCCTGAGGACAGTCGTCTTCTCAGTCAAGACTGGCCTACCACAATGGACCAGCCATCTGCAAACATTTTCTTCAGGGGCCAAATGTACATATTTTACGCTTTGTGGACCAAAAGACAAAATTGAGGCAAATGTGTGGGTATTCATATAATAAGAAACAGATTGACGTCAAGTTTTTATTGATGAAATTCAAAGGCTAGTGGCAATAACTAAGCCTCCACTGGCAACACACAGGGCAGTGGCACAAATCGCAGCCTAGCTGGAGGGCCATGCCTCCCCTGGCATAAGGCAGGACTCCCACCAGGAGGTCCACTCAGATGCTTCCATCTTAGGACTACAGGACATGGAGAGCTCTTCTTATGAAGTCGGTGTTTAACTCCTTCCCCAAGTTGTCCCCAACTTGTGAACATGGTTGCAAACTCAGCAGCTGCCCTTTAAAAATCCACAAGCAGCCAGAGCCACAGGAATCATAGGAATGCAAATGCCCAGGAAAGCTGTGCCAGGACTTGCCTGCCTCCAGCAAGCAGAGCTGAGAGCTCTCCCCTTGCACTTTCCAGGCAAGGGGAGAGCCCACAGACCTCAATGGAGTGGGAGCCACAAGGCCTCTGTGATAGGAGATTAGGGGAATGAGCTGAGAAGGGCAATTGCTAAGCTGCTTCTTCCTTTAAGGGCAGGGCAGGCTCCTGGATGACCCTCATGGGCCTACAAGCCCAAGCCCACACTCCCATCTTCTCAAGCCAGGTCTCACCTTCAGAGCATGACCTTCAGCCGGTGAGTCACACCTATCTGGCTTCAGAGACAGAGGCAGAACGCAGTCCTGCCACCCTCTCTCCTKTGCCTGAAGCAAAGCCACCTAGGTGTGTTCCCTGCTCTGCACCCCACAGCCAAGGAGCACAGAGCCAGGCCCTACCTTTGTAAGGATGCACCATTCCGTCAACCACCTGCACCGTGTTGTCCCCCTGCARTTGTAGGGACACGTCTCCCACTGCATCCACCAGTTCCGTGAAGAAGTCGGCAATCTCCGCACAGTCCTGCAAGAACACGTAGCGGTCCTGGCGGTTGGTGAAGTAGGAGTCACTCAGGTTTGCACTACAGGAAGGAAGAAGCAGGTGAGGACTCAGGTAAGAGTGTACATCAGCATGACTGGGTGACCCAGGCCTCAGGAAAGGAGTGACAAACTCGAGTCAGGAAGTAACAAGAGCAGTCATTTAATAAACAGCAGGAGACCAGGGAAGGACTAGCACCAGGGGACACAAAACAAACTGCCAACCCCACCCCCACTCCAAGGAGCTGACCATCTGGCTGAGAAGAGCCGAATTAGATGGGACCATCTACCAGGTCCCTGTGAGGATCAAAAGCATGTGGACTTCTACCTGGCTGCTTCACCTTAGTCTTCCTGGCCTGACAAGTCACTTGTCCTCTCTGACCTGTTTTTCCAGGTATAAACCAAGGAGAACTTCACAGGGTCATGGTGAGAAATGAGTGATGTGGCACACAGCAGGGGGTTAACACAGTGGCCAGAGCACATAAGTACCCAGTAAATTCTGGCTGCTTTCCAAGCAACCTTCAGGGGCTCCAGCAGGGCCACAGAAGTGTCTGCAGGTGACACAGCAGGGCCTCTGAGACTTGAATGGACAGCTATCCTTCCTCCTTGTCCCACTGACTCCCAGCCCACAGCACTAAGGAGAAGCTGACAGGTCAGACTCACCCACTCAAGATGACACTGTTATCAAAGAGGTATACTTTGATGTGCTGGAGGCCAATGGTCTCATTGAAGCGCTCAGGGACAAGGAGCCGGAGAAGCCCACGGAGGTCGGGCGTGTGGAAGAGGGAGACGCGCACTTGCTCTGGAAACCTCTGCAGGAGTGGAAGTAACATTGTGCGAGAGTTCTTTTTGCCTAGACAGGAGGGGAGCAGAGAGAATGGTGGGTGACTAAAACCAGGAGAGACATCCCACCTGCCAGGGAGGAACCACCTCTCAGATGGACCTCACTTCCCCTGGGCTGCTTATTTGAACCAGCCACACCAATAGGCACTGCTTCCAGCCTGAGGACTCTGGCCAGCCTCGAGCAGGACTGCATGCTCCGCACAGCAGCCATCCACTGTTTTTGCTACCTGACACCCACTTCCCCTCCTGCTGGTAAGTGTACTCAACTTCCTCTGGAAGGTACCACCCAGCTCACTCTCAGACTTCCTGCTCTGGGTAAAGACGACTTGCCTTGAACTCTCACCCAAGATCCCCAAGAGAACATACAAGCCTGGGTTGAGCCACTCAGCCCACTCCAGGCCTAGGATGACATTTAATTCGGGGCTGGGGCCACAGTCCATGGCAGCCACTCAGGGGTTTTGGCCTGAATGTCAAGGAAGGAGACTTTCTTCTAATAGCAAAGGGGTTCTGGGCTCAGGGCCTCAGCCACAGAGACCACTACACAGAGCCTAAGAATGATGGCCAAGGTGCCCATGGGCACAGGGCCTTAGCCACCAGAGGCCACCACACAGACTCTGAGAAGGAAGCAAGCCCAAAGAAAGCAGGGCCAGGAGATGCATCTTGGGGATAAATCCAAGCCCCAAATTATGAGGCACACAAAGAGATCAGGCACAAGAGAAGAAAAAAAAAATTTGGCGGGGAGGGAAGCAGTACCAGGGATTGAAGGCAGGGCTGTTCTACCACTGAGCTACATGCCCAGTCTTTTTYGCTCTATTTTGAGACAGGGTCTCACTAAATTGCCTAGGATGGTCTCAAACTTGCAATCCTCCTGCCTCAGTCTCCTGAGACCCTGGGATTACAGGCGTCATCCCCAGCAAAAAAAAAAAAAAAAAAAAAAAATACTTTTTGCCTAAGTTGTTTAGAGCTGGGTTCAGGCACCTGATACAGAAGGAATCCCGACTAGGAAAAGTAGGCAGTTCTGGGCCTTGTCTCTGCCTGGAACCAGGAGAGGTGACAGTGTAACTCCTCAAACCAAGGCTGTGGGAGAGGAAGAGAAAAGGCTAAGTGTGCAACCTACCTCTTGAGCCCCGGGTGAAATCCAGGAGAATGGAGACCTTGAGGTCAGATGGAAATTTTGCTTGCAGAGACTCTTCTAGAGTACTTTCCAGGCAATCTACCTATCAGGAAAAAGAACCCAAAGGAACAGAAACAAGACCAAAAGGATATTTGTGCATTTAAAACAGCTCATCACTTGGTGAGCACACACCCTCATGCCCTTCCTGAACATGCACACACACCACCAGAACTCGGGAGCCACTGCTGGGAAAGCACTTCAGGGCAAGGCCTTGGGACAATCAAAAACAGTCCTGGCGCTGCTAACGTGAGCCCCAGGAGACAAAGGCCAGAGGCATGCTGCTCAGCAGCCTGGCCTGGCCACTCAGGGACACTCTGAGACACCGTCTCCCACACAGGTTTCAACAGACAGTCCTCACAGACACACAACAAATACAGGTCTACTTATGGAGCATGCTCAGTAAATATTTGCTGAATGAATGAATCCAAGACAAGCTGCCCWCTGGCCCTCCTCTATGGCCAGGACATTTCATTCCTACCCCATGAGAACAAACAGCCCTCCTGAGATTGTAGCTAAGAGGGTGACCTGGCAAGAGGAGAAGACTCCTTCCTCAGAAGCAGGGAAGAAGAGCCAGGCCTGACCCACCTTCCCTCTGCCACACTCCCATCCAACCTTTCACACTGCTCAGCTCCCATCTCTGAGTTTCTGAACAAGGACAATCCAAGGCAATGAGTCATTCCCCTCCCTCTGAGCAGAAAGCGACCCCAACCCAGGACACATGTATAACCTCATTCATAGTCCCATCAATTCCATCTCAGAGGCTGCAGGCCTATACTAGACCTGTCATAAGCAGTACCACGTGGATGGCTTCCAGCTCCTGCCCACTCCCACCTGCCTGAGTGACAAGTGCAGCATGCCAGGAGTCCAGGTGGAATGGGATTGGCTCCTACCTGGTATCTGACACCAGCCTGGGTACACCCAGCAGCTCAACCTGCACTTGGGTTCATTTGTGCAGTACAAGGTCAGAAAATATTTTCTGAAAAGGGCCACACAGTTGTGACAGATGGCCTGTGTCAAAACCATTCTGTTGTGTTGCTGCTGCACTGAAATAACCATGAAGSTGCACAATGAGCATGGCTGTGCTCCAATAAAACTTAACTGATGAACACAGAATGTGAATTTAGTGGACTTTAAATAAGCCAAAAATAAATAGTCTTCTTTGGTTTATTCCCATCATTTGAAAATGTAGAAGCCATTCTTAGCTCAAAGGCCACACCAAAGCAGGTGGTGGACCAGATTTGGCCTGCAGCTCTCAACTGGTAGACGGAGAAGCAAGAGCCCTGAGCAGGAGGAGGACACTGGCCAGCCCTGATTAGGCCTCCTCAAGCCCCCTCACACCCTCCTGACTCAAACAACATCTGTAGCAACAGGAACAAGAGCTGCTGCGACAGAAACTAAGACAGCACCAACCCACCTCTCAGGACTGTGATACTCAAGGACCACCTCCCCATAAACCTTACCAGCTCTTGCTCCAAAGGACCTGTCCCCAGGTAGAGAGATGCCATCACGACCCGCCTCTTGGCTACTTTTATCTGCCCCTGAGAGAAAAGAAACCATTCAAAATTCACAATCAGCATTTTCATAGTTCACCAAGAAAAATATGTTCCTTTGACCTTASAGGCAAATCACACTCCAAGCTGAGTTACCCCATGTCTCCACTAAAACATATACAGTTCCAGGAGTGATGGCACACACCTCAGAGGCTGAGGCAGGAAGAGTTCAAGGTGCATGAGTTCAAGGTACAAGACCCTGTCTCAACAAAACAAAACAAACAAAAAACCCACCATATATTGTGACCTACCAAATAAGGACCCACAATCCTCAACACACAATTCTCAAACTTGTAAAGTTAGGCACAACCCTAAGTCTAACCCTACTATAAAATGCAAGGCAACCATTAAAAAGAATGAAGCGGGGCTGGGATTGTGGATCAGTGGTAGAGCACTTGCCTAGCATGTCTAAGACACTGGGTTCAATCCTCAGCACCACATAAAAATAAATAAATAAATAAATAAATAAATAAATAAATAAATAAATAAATAAATTAAAGGTATGGTATTCATCTACAACTAAAAAATTAAAAAGAATGAAGGAGGATTGAGTATATGGCCATGCCTATAACCCCAGCAGCTCAGAAGCTGAGGTCAGGGGATCACAAGTTCAAGGCCAGCCTCAGCAACTTAGTGAGACCTGTCTCAGAATAAAAAATAAAAAGGGCTAGGGATAAATTTCAGTAACAAAGCGTCCCTGGAGTCAATCCTCAAGAGCCACCCCCCAATAAAAAAAAAAAAGAGAACGAGAAAACAATGAAAGATATTATATATTGTGTGCATGTACAAACATGCCATCAGTGTGTTCAACTATAATGCACCAATAAAAAAATGTGGGGGGGGAATGAAGGAGATCTGTGCCCAACAATGTGAATGTCCATAATGTCCACAATAGATTGCTGAGATGCAAAAGCAAATTACTGAGCAGAATGCAAACTCTTTTCCCACCTGCCTATGCCCAACCCTGTGCACACAGCTGTACACATGTGCATGTACTTATGTACCTGCAAGAACACGGAGAATATGTGCCACAAGGAGTGGAAGGAAGAGGGATATAGGTGGAACCTACATGCTTTCTACTCACCACCTGCACAGCTGAGCTGTTCCAATGAACAGGTATCACTTTCAAAATATAGACAGGTACACACACACAAAAACAGAACAAACCCACACTCAAAGACAACATGCCACCAAGATTCCCCCAAACCAGTGCACTCTCCCTGGATTCTGCTCCAGCCCAGAAGAACAGACCCTGCCTCCAAAACTCCAGGCAACCCTGCCCCAAAGGTAAGTGGCAAGGACAGAAAAAACAGCAATGCTGCCAAACRTTAACCCCAGGGGAAACACAAAAGCAAGGTAAAAGGGAGGAATGCATACAGCACAGCTCATGCCCTCTCCTGTCACCCCCAGCCCGCATCACCCACACAGGAAGTTGGGTTTCTGTACTATACAGATGCATGAACGCAGCACTAGGAAAGGCATAGGCACAATTAAAAAAAAAAAAAAAAAAACCACCCCAAGGTTGCGATTTCCTTTATTTTGTTACCTATTAATATAGATGCTTATAAGGATCATAATAAAAAGAAACACCCAGATGTGGTGGTGCACTCCTATAATCCCAGAGGCTCTGGAGGCTGAGGCAGGAAGATCGCAAGTTCAAAGATGGCCTCAAAAACCTAGTGAGGCTCTTAGCAACTTAGGGAGACCATGTCTCAAAAAATTAAAAGTGCTGGGGATGTGGCTCAGTGGTTAAGTGCCCCTGGGTTCAATCCTGTTACCAAAAAAAAAGAAAAAGAAAAAAAAAAGAAAGAAAGGGAAGCAAATAATGTCTGAGTCCATTTGGCTCAGGCAACCAAAGAATACCTTTCTGCTATAGGTCACCAGGTCCCACAAGACAACCTGGCTATAAGGAAGGCATGAGGACCAGGCAGAAACCACTGCTGTCCTCCCTCTCTATTGTCTGCCTCAGGAAGAAAYGCACGCTACTCCATGTGATGCAAGCCAGAAGAACCTGCCCACGATCCGGTCCAGAGGCCTCGGCTTCTTTTCAACCTCCTGGGCCATGCCCCTCTTCCCCTTCCTGGGCTCTGCAGCCACAGGCAGAGGCACAGCATGGCCCAGCCTCCTGGTCAGGGGAATCACTGTAAGCCATTCACTGAAAGTCTATCAGGACACCAAGAAGAACCACCATAGAAAAACCTGTTTCTTCAAGGCAAGGAGAGAACCAAGACCACACTGCACATCACTCCACACAAGCAACAGTGCACAGGATGGGGACAGGCAGTGCAGCAAAGCAGAGGGAGAACCAGAGGACCTACTCAGGGCGTCACAAAGAAAGCTTTCTGGAATGAGCCACCTAGAAATGAAGCTTTAAGTGTGGACCAATGCAACAAGAGGGCAAAAGGAGAGGAAATGAATAGGCCTTCAGGGGAATGAGCACCCACTGCCTCACCAAGCTGCATCTCCACCTCTGTCTCCTATGACCCTCAGCAATCTCCTGACTGCCTGGCCCACCAGATCTGTATTCTAACATCATTGCTGATATGAACTCACAAAGTTCATGCTGTTAAACATTCATTAGTATTGAATTACTTCATTCCAATTAGTGGTTCAACCATGAATAACTAGATGCAGCATGTAAACCTGAGCAACATGTTGAAAGTTACTCAAAAGGCAAAGATAACATCACTAACAGGAAAGGAAAGCACAGACCTCAGAGTCCCAGAGAACCCTGAGGCCTATGAGACCTAAAACCAGGTGTCCAAGTTTCCCAGCGGTCTTTTTTTTTTTTTTTTTTTTTTTAGTTGTAGATGGACATAATACCTTTATTTTATTTATCTGTGGTGCTGAGAAATGAATCCAGTGCCTCACACATGCTAGGCAAGTGCTCTACCACTGAGCCACAATCCCAGCCCTTCCCAGTTATCTTGAAATGCCTCTTTGCTGAATGGGCACTGGCCACCGGCCACACATCAGACCCCACCCTAGGTCTCCTTATTGTAACATCTACCAAGACAACAATGTGCGTGAAGACATTTCCAAAGGCAGGGGTCCACTGAGCACAGGCCTCCCAGCTACCTAGCAGGGGCGTGCCGTGGGTCTGCACAGCCTCACTAAACTCCCTAGGAGTGGCCCACATCTGCACTACAAAACAACAAGGGGATCAGCGAGGCCTCAAGAGTCAGCATGTACCCTGTCCTCACTGCTCCCTGCTTAGAGACGCTGGCCGTGCTGGGAGACTTTTGCTTGCAGCTCCACTCAACCATCTTAGACTGAAACCAACAGGGAGACTTTTGCTTGTAGCTCCACTCAACCACCTTAGACTGAAACTCAACAGGCTAGGCTGAATAGCCATAGAAGCTTCTAGAATGGAGGGTACTGAGGACTCACCCAACCTGATTCCCTGAGGGCCCCAACTCCAACTTCTATCCCTGGGTCCTTCAGAAACGACCCACCTTCATGAGCTGGAAGAACTCTGCTGGGGAGGACAGCACCCTGACATGAGAGCTACAGACGCCGAACTCTGGAACCAGGCTTCTGATCCACTGAAACCGGTGCACACCTTCTGGACACAGGCAGCAAGGTGGGGAGGTGGCCTGGGGGACAGCTGGAGATAGCAAGGGAGCCAACAGCAGCCATGGTGACCTGGTGGAAAACACACACAAATGGGTTACTCTTCTCAAAAACCCCTGGAGATTTCATCTTACTCCAATCAGAATGACAATGAGTAAGAATACAAACAATAACAAATACTGGTGAGGATGTGGGAGAAAGGTACACTTGTACCCTGAGATTGGGACAGCAGATCAGTACAACCACTCTGGAAGGCATTTGGAGATTCCTCAAAACACTAGGGATGGAAACACCATATGACCAGCTATCTCACTCCTTGGTATGTTCCCCAAAGATCTAAAATCAGCATACAATAGCAATACAGCCTCTTAAATGTTTACAGCAACACAACTGATAATAACTAAATTAGGAAATCAACCCAGGTGCCTGTCAATAGCTGAATGAATAAAGAAATTGTGGTACATATATATAATGGAGTTCTACTCAACCATAAAAAGAATAAAATTATAGCATTTGCCATTAATTGGATGCAAATGGAAAATATGCTAAATGAAATAAACCAAACTCAGAGATTCGAAGGTCGAATGTTTTCTCTCATATGTGGAAGCTAGAGTAAAATAAAGGAAAGGGGGAGGAMAGGACAACATGAAGTTATAGGGAAGATCAGTAGTGTGGAAGGAGATTGAGAGGCAGAGTGGAGGGATGCTAAGAGGAGACAATGCAGAATGAAAGCTTAAATAATCATGCTATGAGGCGGGCACAGTGGCGCAGAGGCATAGTGGCGCAGCAGCACAGTGGTGCAGCTCAGAAGGCTGAGAAAGGAGAATAGCGAGTTCAAAGCCAGCCTCAGCGATGGTGAGGCGTAAACAATTCAGAGAGACCCTGTCTCTAATAAAATACAAAATAGGGCTGTGGATGTGGCTCAGTGGTCGAGTGCCCCTGAGTTCAACCCCGGGTACCAAAAAAAAAAAAAAAAAAGGTGAGCGCAGATGAAGCTCTGCAAACTCACAAGTTCAAGGCCAGCCTGGGCAATTTAGCGAGACCCTATCTCAAAATAAAAAAAAAAAAAGACTGAGGGTATAGTCCAGTGGTACAGCACTCCTGGGTTCAATCCCCAACACCAAAAAAAGGAAAGAAAAACTTGCCTACAGATATCTAAAAGGGTTAGCCTAATGAAAGTCTGAGGGTTACAACCACAGCCCCGCCCACGACTCAAAAGAGTTTCTGTTCAAGGAAGGACTCGGAAAAATATGTGTTTCTCTTTAAAACTCACATTTGGAGAGAAAGGCTGGGGCAGAAAAAGGTTAGGAAAGGGGGCCTATCTCGAGATGCTGGCCATGATGACAAAGGCCACTTCACCAGCAGACACATCCTCCCTGGAGGTTATGCCCATCTCGAGCCAGCTGCCCCTCCGGCACAGACTCCACACTCCCCTGGGCTGAGATGGAGGAACTGGGGTTGCTCATGGAGCTACATCTCTGCTGGCCTGAACACCCAGAGTCCTACACAAATCCCACCCTGTTTGAATCCCAGTCCTACAAACAGCAGCAGGAAAACCCTCTTCAGCCTGTGACCTCCAAAGGGACTCTGGGGAAAAGACGCTCAAACACCCCAAGGCTTGAATGGCCACGAATTCCAGGAAGATGACTTCACTTGCTTGCTTCATGATAAGGCACTGAATCTTCCAGGGTTCCTAATGGCCCTGCACAGATGCCAGATGGCCCACAGCTGTGATTCCCAGAAAGCCCACCAGTCTATCAGGGCCAACTCGCTACTAAGAAAACTTTTGTCAATGCAGGAAGGTGCCAGCTCTCTAGATCCTGGGAAGACTGGAACAGGCCTCGGTGACCCACTGCAGAGGTGGGAAAGCAGCAGTTCTCTCCCATGGTCTGGGGGAGGGCGACATTACTGTCATCAGCTCAAAAATAAGCTGCCTCAACTTCMCAAAATATGGGCCACACACCTGCCAGGCCTGAGAGCAGAAGGAAGGCTCCCATGACCCAACAGAAGACAATGAAACAATGGGAAAGCTGTGTAACAACAATTTGAAGCCCCCAATGGGGCCTAAAATCTAAGGAATGAAATGTGATATATTTGCAGTAGCAATGCACAGTAGTATAAGATCAGCACACCCCTGCCTCACAGCTCTTCTTCCCACCTTTCAGACCACCCAGGAAAGRGCCAGGTCTCCACCTGTGCCACTCCACACCAAGTGGTCTGGCATCACACAGCCTCCACATGGGCTGAGAGATGCACACCAACTCCTAGAGAGGAAAGAGAGGACACACTCCTTGGCCCAGTCACAGAGAAGAGGTGAGCAACAGTGCAAGCCTAATCCCAGCCCTCCAGAGAACCCCTGCCACATACTGCAGAGATGCATTGCACACAAAGAGCTCAACAGTCTCCACCTCCACAGTCACAGTGGCCCATTAGCTTATACACCTGGAATCACTTAAGAACAACACAAGCAGAAATGCTAAAATTAGCCAGACATAGTGGCACACGCCTGTAATCCCAGCAACTCGAGAGGCTGAGGCAGAAGGATCACAAGACCAAGCTAGCTTCAGCAACTTAGCAAGGCCCTAAGCAATTTAGTGAGACCCTATCTCAAAAATAAAAAGGGCTGGGGATGTGGTTTATTAGTAATAGTTAAATCCCTGGTACCAAAAAAAAAAAAAAAAAGACACTAAAATTAATTAAATGTCAAAATACATGGTGAGTGGTATGTATGATTCAAGGGATCAAGAGGGAAGCCAGGGCTGCCAGCAGCTACTGGTGAGGCTTCACAGTAGCCTGCCCCGACCAGGCCTTGAAAAACCAGCAAAATTCAAACAGGGACCACGAGGGAAGGAGGTTCCAAGCAAGGATGTTTTCCCAGCAGAAAACCCGGGAGCACCTCAACAGCCAGTCCAGAGCACATTCGCGCACACAGGGCTCAGGCAGTAGTCAGGGTCCACCACCATCTCCAACAGCCAGCAAGAGCACCGCCCCTGCAGCCACCGGGTAGCATGAGCCTCAGTGCCCAAGGGCTGGCTAGCCCAGGCAGGTCTCTTCCCTGCCAGGCAGTGCTCCCTGGGAATGTTCCACCAGGGCCTGGGTCCAAGAGTTGTTGAAGGCCTTTTTGTGTTGGCTTCCTGTTTAATCTGTGTACTGACAGGTTTATTTTTGTTAGAGAGGAGAAGAAGCTGGAAGCCAATTAGGTTTCACCTATTCACTGTGGAGGAGGCTCAGCCTTCAAGCACCCATTTTATTCCCCCAAAGAGGAAGGTGCTCTGAAAGGGAGCAAGTGTCTTGTAAAGAGTCCCACACCACACACCAAGGACATCCACCTGGACAGGTGACACTCAAAATCCAAATGAAGTGCATCAGCTAGGCAGATGACTCCTCTTGAGCCTGCAGGACGAGCTTCTCCAGGGCCTGTCAGGGGCCTGTTCTTTCCTCTCACCTCAATCAGAACCCAGGAATCCCTGGCTTCCCACAGGCAACTCCTGGGAATTTTCCCAGGCTAGCAGCAGCCCCAATGCACAGTAATTCTAGTCTCAGCCGACCACCTGCACATGCATTTCCCCTCACACCAGGAGGATTCTGAGAAACCACATCCCACCAAAAACTAAGCCCTGAGAGATTTGAGGAGGCAGAAGCTGTGGTCACCAAAATAGGCAAGCTTTGCATCTTAGTCACCATTTAGAGAAATAAACCAGTGTCACAGTCACCATTTAGAGAACTAAACCAGTGCACACACAAGACTTCCACATATAGAATTGCCCCGCCATGTCTTCTCTTTCTAGATACCATCTAGTACCCATTCTAGTTATCAGAAGGAGGAAGTGGTAGGGAGGCACCAGATAACAAGACTAACAGTCTTGCCTCTCTGAAGGACCACTCCTTTTCTCTGGAATGATGGGGGCACTCGGAGGACAGGGCAAGAGCAGGTGGTCCTTCCAGGTGCCATGGCCAGAAGCTGCACCAGCTTCTRGTAGCTTCAACCTGTAAACCTCAACAACAACCAAAGTCAGACAACACAAAGCAATCTTTGCCTAGAATCCTAAAGGTAAAACAGCACCTGTGAATCACCCATCTCAGCCATGCCCACAGGACACCTGCCTGTGTAAAGGTTCAGTCATATGATTCAAGGCTTCCCGTGAACAATGCAGATAAATCCCCCTATCTGGGAATCCATTTCTTCACCCAGACAGGGCCTTGGCGAGTGGGCATGATGAGTCTGAAGGGAGCGGTACACCAAGTTCCCTCTGTCTCCAGGAAAACCCTCATCTCAGCCACCTGAAGCAAGTGCACAGCCCTTATCCCTCAGCTCCTGGATGGGGGCAGCCACCAAGCGAGGATAGTAAAGTCTGCCTGGCCCATCAGGAAGACAACACACTCCCTTAACACCCAACTAAGAGAAGCCTGGAGACAGCAGTGAGACTGAGTTCAGGATAATCTGTGCAGCTGAGAGGCTATGGAGCATACCTGTTTACAAAAGCCTCTGGGAAAACAGGAAAAAAATGTCTGTCCCTTCTCTGAGGAAATGGGTTTCTCATCTCACCAAACATTCTAAAGCTGCATGTGTCTCATGGAAAAACACTGGCACAACTCGTCTCTCCTCTAGGTGTGCAATGATGTGCCTGGAGGTTCACTGAAACCTAGAAGTACACCTTGGGACACACGTCTGCTTCCCATGGAACTGCAGTACCTAATGGCACCCACTACCAAAGGAACACAAGTTGTAGGCTTATTTCTCAGGGTCTTTTCCAAAGAGGACATGTAGGTTTTTGAACAAAGAGTACAGTGAAGCTGGAAGACTGTCTTCAGACCCACTCACAAGCCCATGACAGTCAGGGGTCGTATTCCCTGCCCCCACATGGGGCTTTAGGTAAGCATCCCACTGAGTGAGCTCAGAGTCACCCTCTAAGGGTCCACAAGCTCTGCTGAAACCATAAGATTCGTGGGACAAACTCTGTGGCTTGGATCCCATCCAAATCTGTACAAAACGACATAAAAAGAAAGAAGTCTTTGGGACTGGGGATATGGCTCAGGCGGTAGCGCGCTCGCCTGGCATGCGTGCAGCCTGG